AAATGGTCATAACACTGATTTTTGGTGTGACTCATGGATGGAAACTGGCCCCTTGATTCTTAGAATGGAGAATCTTCCATTGATCTTTCCCAAGATAAAAGAATTATGGAATGGGGTAACATGGCAGCTAAATGAGGTTGCTGAATGGCTTAATCCTCAATTATGTTCTGAAATTGAAAAGGTGTTTTTTGTGAGATCTGAGGAATCTGATAAGCTTATTTGGAAGCATACTACTTCAGGTGAATTTACTGTAAAATCTGCATGGAATCAGCTCAGGAAAGTGGGGAACCAAACTGCTATTGCTAAAGGCATATGGAAACAGAAAATTTTTCCTAGTGCTCAACTTTGCACTTGGAAAATTTTCAGGAAAGCTTTGACTTCTGATGATAGAGTTCAAGATGTGGGAGTTGCAATGGCTAGTAGATGTGTCATGTGTGGTGTGGATGGGGAAAGTGCAGCTCATGTATTTATTAATTGCTCTTTAGCTCAAGCTGTCTGGAGGAAAATTGCTGCAATTATGGAATTTGATATATTTTCAGGAGAGGCTCCTTTATGCAGATTCTTGAGATTGTTGAGAAGGTTTAAAGCTGCTTCTCTCAGTCATAATCTAATAAGAGGGGTCTCTATGTTAATTTTTTGGGCCTTGTGGAAGGAAAGATGTAGGAGGAAATATGAGGGAGTATTTTTAAATGCCAATGCTATCTTTCACCAAATAGTGAGTTCTTTAAGATGGCAGGCTTTTCTTATCAGACCTAGATCAAATGATGATGGTAAGGGAAAGGAGTTGTTGAGAGACTTGAGTATTAAAAGTCCTTTTTCCTTAATCACCAAGGTTAAATGGATTAAATGGGAACTTCCTCCTGCAAATGTGCTAAAGCTAAATGTTGATGGTGCTTCTAAGGGTAAGACTGGCTTGTCAGGTGGTGGGATGGTATTGAGAGATCATGAAGGCCAAATAATTGCTGCAGCTTCCTGCTTTTATGGTATTGGTTCTAATATGTTTGCTGAATGCAGGGCATTATTGGATGGTTTACTTCTGATTTTACAATACAGTCTGACAACATCTCAGATTATGGTGGAGACTGATTCTTATTCTTTATTTCAAATGGTGAGAGGATTAGCTGCTGTTCCATGGAAGATGCAATATCTACTTGAAAGGATTAAGATGCTGTTTGGCTTTCTGAATTTGCAAATCAAACACATATATAGGGAAGCTAATAGTCTGGCTGACTTCTTAGCTTCCTTTGCAGTTAAATCAGAACAGTACACTGAGTTTTCTGCAAATAATATTCTGCCATCCATTGGAAGACTGATATTGCAACAAGATTTATATGGCTTTCCCTATGCCAGATTGAAGAGTTTGATATGTGATCAAAGAGAAGGTATTGGTTAATTTTGTGTCTACAGTATGAAAGACCTAGAATCTGGAAATTGTAATAATTCTAGGAAACATTCTAAAGGGTTTCTACTTTGGTTCTTCTGCTGGTTGGATCTGTGTTGATTCTAGTAGGCTTCTGAGATGATTTATTAGAATCAAGAGCAGTTCTTCAGTTTCTGTTGGCTGCTCCTTTTCCAATCTGCTTGGACTATCTTCTGGACTTCTTTTGTGAGCTTTTGAGTTTGGATGATCAGGTTTTCTGATGTCATCTTGCTCCCTTTTACGTTTCATCTTGGAATGTTGAAGGAGGCTGTTTCAGTACAGTTTATATAGGTGATATGTGATGTATGGTATACTCTGCATCTGGCCATTTCAGCACCCTGGTTATTAAATGAAGTGCATGTATGTGAGTTGTCTCTGGACTGATCTGTCGAAGGGACTGCAATCTGGCTGCTTGGAATTCTGATCACTGCTGCAGATTATTAAGGGGCTGATACTTATTATTTTGGACAGACTGTTGGTCTTCCCTGTCTCTTCCTGGACTGTATCTGTGGCCATTTCTTCTGTGGCTTAAGGCATTTGTTCAGGATTGTTTCAGCTGGATGGAAAGAAGACACTACAAAGGGATTATAATTTTGATTTACCATTTTACCCTTGTATTGTTTTTGATGTTATATGTTCATAAGTCACTGTTTTTAGCTTAAAATAGTGACTTATTTGCTTCTTGTAATTTCTGTTTTTATTCAATAAAATTTTCTTTTCCTTAAAAAAAAAAAAAAAAAAAAAGGGTTTAGGGTTTAGGGTTTAGGGTTTAGTTCTTCCCTTCTTCCTGCTTTAATTTCTGAAGAACAACATGGCTTTGTACAAGGCAGAGGTATTGGAGATTGTGTGGCCTTGGGACAGTTGCTTGTTGGAGAATTAGACAGAAAGGTGGATGGTGGGAATATGGTTTATGAAATTGGATATGATGAAAGCATATGACAGGATGGAATGGGATTTTTTGTTGAGGGTACTGGCTGGTTTTGGCTTTTCTGATTTGTTTAATCAAATTATTTTGAATTGTTTGAGTAGCCAATTCTTTACCATTTGCTTAAATGGCCAAAGATTTGGTTATTTTGCTAA